TCATGGCTGATCTTCAGCATTACCAGGAAGTGGAGAGTCAGATGTTGTTGACACTGCATAGCAAGGTGAGGAGCAATTCATGTATGTTGTCACTATCTATCCCTTTGCGCCCTCAGTCACAAGAGCTTGCTCGCGGGCTAAAAGGACCGCGGTAAAAGGTCATACAGGCGGTGGAGGCCTGTCGGTAAATGGCTTTTATTCAAACCCCTGTTCTAAGTAAGCTCTAGGGTAGCATTTGCCTCAAAAGACATAGAGCAGGGATAGAAAGTTTTAATGTCTCTCGTGAATTAGTGGTAGTCCTAATCAGCTTTGTTAATTTCCGCAGGACATGCAAGAATTGATTCGTCTTCGACAACTGGAGCACCAATCATGGCAAGAGGAGTTGCTCGACGGGATATCATCTGTTCTTCTTGGCACAGAAGAAAATGTCTCTCAAGAGGATGAACTTCTCCAGGCTTTGGAAGAAAAATACGACACGCTTAGAGACAAGCTGCTTCTTGAAGCCTTAGAGAAACAAATGGGCGCAGCCGAATGGGCGCATCTCTCTGAACGAGAAAGACAGGCTCGGCTTGCTAAGCTAAAGCTACAGGAGAGACGTCTGAGACAACAAGGGAGGTTTGATGATGCAGCGGCTCTGTTAGGTGAAGGACTTAAGAATGCTGAGACTCTGCAGGTATCGTAACTGACCCTTTAACTTCCAAGATCTGATTGTTAATTCTCCCCTCTAGCTGCTACACATTTTCTTGAAAATTAGTTATGAGAATTGATCAACAAAACAACTTCGCGGATAACCAAGTCGTGAGTAGTTTTAGTGTTGCATCTGATTGGTTGAGAAGGTGGGTCGAGTTTTTTTTATTAGACCAATCACACTGCACAATAATGCAAAACCAATGCAATCTGCAACGACTTTCAACACTCAGTTGAAAATTGTTCTCTTGGTGGTTTCCTCTACGTTAATTTAAAGGCCTTTTTTTTCTTCCAATTTTTTTTTAAAGGCTCTTTTGGGAGAAAACCGACAGCGTTATTTAGAGCGACTTAAGGAACGCCTAGAGAGGCGCCAGAAACGACTTGAAGAAGGGTTGGATCCTGACGAAGAAGATGAGGAAACCATGCGACTTTTAAATGAAGAAGAAGCCGTCAGTACTGGCAACATCTTAAAAGACCTGCAAAACCGTTTTGACGAGGAGAAGGATGCACTATTACGAGGACTACAGGTACAGCGCTTTTATGTACCATAATCCTTGTTTTGTCGCATAAATTTCGCGCAGAACGCGTGCAAGGGTCGGGAATAACCAAGCGAGCGAGCGAGAAAACCCCTTTGAGTGCGCACTGACATTTCGCACGTGCCTACCAAAGCGTCATACGCTGCTCCAAGTTTACACCCGTGGACGCGTCCCATGTCTGAAGTATCAGGGTTTAAGTTACAGTGGTTCTCTGATTCAAGTCTACTCCTGGAAACCCGGCCTAAATTTGAGATCTCCAGGTTAAAACTACAGTGATTCACTGACACATGTCTACACCCGGGGACCCGGCTAAAATTTAAGATCTCAAAGGGTAAAACTGTAGCGATGCACTGACATAAATTCACACCGGGAGACGTGGGCTAAGTTTAGGATTACGGATGTAAAGGATACCTAAGGTTTGATTGAATGGTACTCTACTCTTTCTCTTTGTGTTATCAGGAGGAACAAGACCGGAAAGCTGCAGAAAAACGTCGTCAGGCTGAACTTGTGAGGCTCAAACGCGAGAAAAGACAAGCTGAACAAGAATCACGGTTTGATGAAGCTGCGCTGGTACTGGGGCTGGCGGAAAGAAACAGACAGAACCTTGAAGAAAAGTGAGGCAGAAACGTGACCAGTTCTTAGCTTCTTGAGAACTGATGGATCCATTTTCAAAAACTTTAAGTTTTATTGTGGTTCGTTAAATCTCTTTAACTCATTTTTTTTTTCTGGTCATCAGGTTACGCCGTGATCGGGAGCGTCAAGAACAGCTAGCAAGGGAACGATTGGCGAGAAGAAAGAGACGAGGAAAACCTGAGGAGCAGGAAGATGACGATGAACCAGATCCCGATAAAGGTTATATAGACAACAAGTAATCCCTCCTTTTCGGCCTTGTCTGTCGCGCTCGTCAATAAAAATCAGTACATGAAAAAAAATGATGTAAGAGGGCCGAGCGCATTTCTTGAAGTGAACCTACTTTTGGTGTGCCTCACTCGGCGTGGCTGAGTTGTTAGAGTGCTAGACTTGAAATCGTCTGGTTCCCTGTTCAAGTCCTCCACCCTGCAATTCACTGGATTCGTTCTCGCTCGCCCCGAGTTCCTCCTCGGCTGCACTGCGATTCTTAAGCACTTTATGTTTATTTACGTCATCGTAAAGCGCTATTGGATAGCGATAGAAAGAGCTCTAATTACATAAAATATTATAATTATTTCTCCCATAATTCAGCGCATCAACATCAACACCAATTTTTTTTTTACTGATTTTTGTTTTAACTTGTGCGACGGACTTCCCCGAAAAGCAAGGGACGGTTCGTAGTCTAAAGTTTGTTGTACTGTTTGTTTTGTCTCTGAGTCGCAGCTGTACTCTACTGTATTTCCACTTAAATTCACTTGTCGAATTCAGCGCGACTGTGTAGCTTTTTTTATCCACCTCATTTATGCAAAAAGTTGAAGAAGTAGCGTCGCTTTAAGTTAAGTCAAGTGTCTCGACCATTTTAGAGGAAGACTGTCTGTCGCTACGATTTTTGCTGTAGTTTAAAAGTAGAACGCCTCACTCCACCCCACCGTAACATTAACCTGCGCGCAGGCCCTCGTAATTGAACTTCGGGACGAGCGTTTCTCGCCCGCGAGAAAGTATGAAGCCTTGAGAAACGCGAGCCGGCGAGAGGTCAACACAGATATTAGTGCCACGCTTCCTGCAGCGCTAATGATAACGAAGGCCTACTCTCATGCTACCGCAAAACTAGGGTTCAAATCATTTTTGTGTGTGTGATCATTCTTCACGATCGGCATCTTCTCCTTGATTTATAGATGATTTACAAGGCTGGCAGGACGCTGTGTTGAAGTCACTGGAGAGAAAACACCGCGCAGAACAGGAATTCTTGATGGGATTGCTTCAAGATGAGAGCAGCGAGAGCATGCGGGAAGAAGCCAGAACTGTTAGTGAAGACGACAGACTTAAAAGACTCAGTGAGCTCAAAGGGAAGAGAGAGGAACTTGACTTGGGTGTTAAAGGTTAGTTTAAGATTCTATTCAAACTTAAGTTCAAGGGTTAAAGTGGATTTTGTTAAAATTTTGTTTTTGTTTTTCCTTAGCTGACCAACTTCTCCATGTCGACATCCTGGACATGGCCGCTGCTTACAAATTTGAAGTTCAGCGATACAGACTGGGTAGTGAAAAGGAAGGTGAAGTGAACGATGAAGAAGTTACAGTCGCTATGATGGCTGACTTACAAGAAGAACAAGACAAGGAGAGTGCAGGAGTCCTAGGAAATCTTCAGGAAAAGGTTGGAGGGACAAGAGAAAAAACCGTCAATTGTTACTTTACATCCTACTGTTTACTTCCCAACACTGGAAAAGCCTTGAAAAAGGCCAAGCCTCTGATTGAAAACCGCCAAGATACAAGAGCGCAAATTCCCTTCCCCACCTCCCTCCATATGGTATATGCTGGAGATTTCATCAAAGCTGGGGGGGCGGGGGGGGCGGGGGGGCGGGGAAGGTGAGGGGATTTCTGACAGCAGCGAATAAATAGGACTTATAGAATATAGGGGCTTTTTCAGGATGATTAAGATTAATTAATTCTTACTCTTTGATAATAGAAATACAGTCTTTCTTACGTCCTCTCTGTCTCCAGTCCTTCATCCAAAACCTATTCCTCAGACACTGAAGTGTTAGTTTTTGTGGAGGGAGGGGACAGCGAAGAAATTAAA